AATTTAACTATCGGACTATATATATATATATATATATATATATATATGTTTATTAAAATTTGCTATATTTGTGTGTATGTCTGTGTTTCCTTTAATGTTACATATAAGGGAAATCTTATTTTGATTAAGTGTTTCTAATGTTCTTACAGTTTACTTTTTGGAATTTGTTAATAGTGCTCGTGGTGCACTGCCCTTTCCGACAATCATTGAACCTTTTTTAAAGGGCACGTTGTTAATACTTTCTCTTGTTAACTTAAAACAAGTTAAAACGTAAGAAAAAAATAAGATTTCCCTTATCAGTCACATTCAAGGAAACATGTTTTAAAGAAGGTTTGCTACCCAAATACACCATATATATATATATATATATATATTGTTTAAAATGTATTATATCAATAAGGAAGGGACTTAATCTCGGAGATATAGAGTTTATACTCTCTCTCTCTCTCCATATATATATATATATATATATATATATATATATATATATATATATATATATATATATTTCTCTTTTAATTTCTTTTTCTCATTTTTAATATCTTTCATTTTGTCTCTTTTTTTTTTTTCCCTCTATTATTCATTCTATCTTCCTTTTCCCTCTCTTTTCCCTCTTCCCGTCACTCTCTTTTCCTTCTCTTATTTTCTCACCTATTTTCATTTGTCGCAAACGATATAATGTCAATCTCCCCTTTCTTTGTTCCTTTATCTCTTCTTTATTTTCTTTTAAAAACTCTCTCTCTCTTTCTCTCCCTCTCTTACATTCTCAAGACTTTCTCTCTCACCCTATTTTTTTTTTCATTTTTTCCTCCTCCTCTTCCAGAATTCAACATCGTACCGCTCCTTCCCAAGAAACCGCTACTGATTCCTTTCTTTTCTTCTATCACGTCTTACTTCATTTTTCTCTCTTTCTTTCTTCCTCCATCTCTCTCTCTCTCTCTCTCTCTCTCTTTCTTTCTGCCTTTCTCTCTTTTCCGTTCTTATTTAAGCCCCTTATCATTGCCAATGTCATTATGCACATTTCACGCTTGTCTTCTCACTCAGCTTGCAACCATTTTCTCTTTCAAAGATATTGTTTATTTTTTCCCCCTTTCGTTCATGTATAATGAAAATATAGACAAAATAAATAAAGAAAATTATTTGATTGAAATCAAATTTAGAGAAGATGAAGAGTTCACATGTACTTGACGGATATTCAGTATTTGAAAAAAAAAAAAAAAAAAGCTGTTTTAGGTTATTTTTCTTCCGACGCTATACTTGGGCATATTTGTAAAAAAAAAATTGAATGAAGACTTAAGTGTGAAAATTGGAAGGAAAAAGAGAAAAATAAACTTTGATTAAAAGCAACCAAAAACTAAACAAGAAATTAAAAAAAAAAAAAAGCAGAAATAAAACATGTGGCATTAGAAGCCAACATGGAATTTTCTTTTCATTTAATTCACCCCAAGAAAGGTTTCAGCTTTTGCAGTCGGTTGTGGAAATCCTTCACTTCTTCGTTGAACATTGTTGCATGTAACCCATTTTTCCTTACCTGTTATGATATATTTGAGAGACCATGAGTTGGGGTTAGACATTCATCATTACAACTGATTTCTCAGAACGGAAATTACTGGTTTGGTTTGGTTTATTTTGTTGTACGGCATATCACCAATCAATGGTTCATTTAATGTCGACAAGATTTTTAGTATAGATTCGTATGAATAGAATATTTGTTCTTTGTAAAAAATCAGTTTTTATACAAGGTTTCGTTGACGTACATTTGTAAAAAGGGTTTTGCTCGAGAATCAAATGTATTGCTGGTAATATTTTTTTTAATGTATTGTTGATAATATTTTAAAAATGTATTGCTAGTAATATATCAGGTCATCCCATAACTTCAGTCCGAATTTTGAATAAAGAAAACAAGTGACCAAATGTTACATTTAATTACAGATTCAATCAACAATGTATTTTCCCTGATTATCTATGACTTCCTTCCATCTATTAACAAGCTTACTAATTCCATTACTGTAAAATTATTTTGGTTTTGATTCGAAGAACTCACAAATGTCAGTTTTAACCTCTTCCTGTGTTACAAAAGCTGTTTCTTCCAAGTGACTCTGTAAGCTACGAAACAAATGGTAGTCTGAAGGAGCAAGATCGGGAGAATAAGGTGGATGAGGAATTTTCTCCCAACCAAGTTCTTCGATCTTTTGTGACGTGATTCTTGCTGTGTGGGGTCGCGCATTATCCTTATGAAACATCACCCCTTTTCGATTCACTAGAGCAGGTTTTTTTTTCCTCAAAACTTGGTTCAAATGCTCTAATTGCTGACAGTATATTTGAGCATTAATTGTTGCATTAGGTGGTAAGAATTCAAAGTGGATTATTCCTTGGCGGTCCCACCAGATTGAAGGAAGAACATTTTGCCCATGAAATTCCATTCTCGGCTGTGGCTAGGGTCCTTCCCCTTTACCAAGCCACTGTCTACAACGCTTAACATTTCGATAAAAGATTCATTTTTCGTCACCAATCACAAGTCTATCAAAAAAAGGTGAAACAAGTTGGCGAGAATGGAGAGAAGAGCAGATGTCAACTTGGGATTTGAGGTTGTTTTCCGACAATGCATGAGGCACCCATTTTCCAAGTTTAGGAACTTTTCCAAATTATTGAAGATGACGATGAACAGTTGTATGGTTTGAACTGAGAACCACTGCCAATTCCTCAACTGATAAAGCAGGATTTTCTTCAAGGGTTGCTTCAAGAAGCTTTTCATCAAACTCAACTGGACACCCGGTTCGATCTTCATCTTTAAGGGTGAAATCTCCACCTCTGATTTTTTCAAACGATCTTCTGCAAGTTCTTTCATTCACACATTCCTCTCCATAAACTGAGTGAATGTTTCTAGCCGCTTCGGCTGCTGAGTTACCTTTCTTGAAGTCATAAAGCATTATGTGCCTCAAATGCTTCTTGGGTACTTCCATGTTAGCAGGGTTTTAATCAAACAAAATTTAATTTTATTGTTCTCTGAAATAAAATTTGATCAGTTTAAATGCATCTAAACATAAAAATAATGTTCAACTCCATTAGACATAAAATACTCTTTAAATTTCGTTCATTTTTCAAAAAGTTAAATTTCGGACAGAACTTATGGTATGACCTGATATTTTTCAGAAATATATTGCTGGTAATATATTTTTCAGAAATATATTGCTGGTAATATATTTTTCAGAAATGTATTGCTGGTAATATATTTTTCAGAAATGTATTGCTGGTAAGATATTTTTTAGGAATGTATTGCTGGTAATATTTTATCCAGAGATGTATTTCTGGTAATATTTTTTTCAGAAATGTGTTCTTGGTAATTTCTTTTTGAAGAAATATATTGCAGGTAATACTTTTTTTTTTCAGAAATTTGTTGCTGGTCATAATTTTTTTTTGAAAAATATATTGCTGGTAATTTTTTTCATAAATGTATTGCTAATAATATTTTTTTCAAAAATGTATTGCTGGTATTTTTACTATAAAATCTATTTTGATACTTTCATAGTCTTTTGACCCCAGTTTGAAGGTTAACAATTTACCCGTAGCTTGAACCCAAACAAGTACTATGTAACCCTGGGCCTTATGTAGTTTATAATCATACCCAGGACGTCGGAAATTACTAATATTTCTACAACTTGTCTTTTCTTTCAAATACAAAGAAGTACTGAATCCTCATGTCGTAGAAAATTTTTCAACTAAAATGTGAGCAGTGAGTCTTTAAATCCTGGAACAAAATAACCGTGTCGCGGTGATTCATTGATTCATATTCTTATGTTTTACCATCCATTGCAGGTTATTTAAAACCAGAAAATACTTTTAGATTGTAGAAACTTTTGGGGAGATAATAATGATTTAGTCTCTAATTCTTATATATCAATATATATATATATATATATATAGATAGATAAGAAATATATATATATATATATATATATATATATATATATATATATATATATATAAGAATATCTAATTAGTTTCTAATTAACCCACAGGTGGGAGGAGAAGAGTTGTCTTTATACCTTTCCCGATTTTATTTGCTTGTAAATGAACATAAAAAAAACTAAAACTGGAATTTGGTTCTCTAATTTAATCTAAAAATAATAAACATTTAAAATTATAGCTCACCTCCTTTGATATACTTTCGAACCACTTATATACCTCTCCACTAATTTATCTTAGATTATGATTCTTAAAATGTTTTTTTTCTGCGCATATATATTACTAGTAAAACTTTTCAAGAGAAATTGTTTTACACCCATATTTATTCTACACATTATACAGGTGAAAATTTGCTTATAAAAGCTATATTAATATCTCATACTTTTATATACTTTTCTACTTATATTTTAATTTCTAACTCAAAACTGTTTTTTTTTAAACCCGAATAACATTTGTATTCAAAATACCAAGAAGTAATCACTACCTCTAATTTTATTATTTTCCAAAATGGCTTCCTTGGAAGCAGAATTGTTAATAACCATTTTGGTTCTTACCAGTCGAAGTGCAATTTTAAATGCATTGAAACGAAGTTGCAGCTTTGTAGTGAGTAAACTGGTTTTGTCTATATGAAAAAAAAAATTATATATATATATATATATATATGTGTGTGTGTGTGTGTAGTGTATATATATATATATATATATATATATATATATATATATATAAACCTAGAACCAGACAAACCTACCAAGGTTTCAGCCGGCATTCCCTGGCGATCTGCTTAGGTGAAACCTTGGTAGGTTTGTCTGGCTCTCTAGGCTTAACTAAGTCTGCTCTATTCATTGTATTGAGCACTTCATTTAGTTGTTTTTGGTACTCGCATCGGGTTTTTTTTTTTTTGTGTCTTGAACTCTTATGCTGGACGATTATTTTCGGTTAACGTACATGTTCTTGGTTCTTTCTTTTTTTTTGTAACTTTTTTCCCTTTGGTATTGAATTGTTTATTTGCAAATCACTACAACGAGCGAGTATAGTTTCTTATACATATAAGATTTTCCGAGCGAGTATAGTTTCTTATACTTATAAGATTTCTATTATTATTATTATTATTATTAATAATAATAATAATAATAATAATAATATATATATATATATATATATATATATATATATATATATATATAAATTTTAGTGGGAATAGCTGGTAGTGTAGGTTTGGATGTGCGGTTGGTGTAATGGGTAATAGCTCCTAATTGTTAATTATTTTAAGCAACATTGAGTCTGGTCAGTATCTAGATGAGTGACCACTTGGGAATAGCTGTAAGTGTAAGTTTGGCAACATTGAGTCTTGTCAGTATCTAGATGGGTAACTGCATGGGAATACCAAGTGCAGTAAATTTGGATGTGCGAGTGGTGTAATAGATAATAGCACAGAAATGTTAATTAGAGAACCGAAACTTACACTACCGGCTATTCCCAAGCGGTCACTCATCTAGGTACTGGCCAGACTCAATGTTGCTTAAAATAATTAACAAGTGGGATCTATTACTCATTACTTCGGAAGTGTGCTTGTCAAACTTTCTGCCTCAGGGCAGAGAGGAACCCAGACAAGGCTGTGCCGAAGGGCAGAGTCTTGTCTGGGGTGGTAGACAGCTAACCGACCCCGTTTTTACGGGGGTCTACGGGGAATTTTTGCCCGAGCCTACGGGTTCGGATATCCCACAATAAACATGGGCTTGTGTCGCATCCGACCGCGTAGGGCGGTTAGTGAATATCTCACTACCCGCACATCCAAACTCGCAGGACTTGCTATTCCTAAGTGATCACCCATCTAGATACTGACCAGACTCGACATTGTTTAACTAGATTGAAAATTCGGAGTTATTATCCATTACGCCACCCGCATATCCAAACTTACAGCAATTAAAATTATCTGAAAAATATTAGGTTGGTGCAAAAATAATGACGTAATAATGTCGTTTTTTTACATTAAAAATACGTCAAAAAACGACATTATTGCGTCATTATTTTTGCACCAACCTAATAATAAGCATGAAGCACTAAATAGTCTCCGTGCCGAAAAGCTGGAGAACTGAAAGAAATATTTAACCCATTAGTGTAACCTGGAATATTTGCCATTAATTATGAAAATAAAATAAAAATTTCAGTATTAATTATTGTCGCAACAAAATACGCAGTACTTATTTCGATTAAACGCGATTCTTAGGTCGTTCAATTAACTTCACTACTTATCCAAATGCAAAATAAGTCTTATTTGACAATAATATAAATAACAGATGGCTATAAGAAAACACTGTTGATTATTTACAGTTCATAAGGTACTGATTATTGTTTGCGCCACGTGGTAATAATTTTAAATTAAAATTTTATTTTATTGTTCTGTCTCTTTAATAATGTTTTTTTTTTTTTTTTCATATTTTTTCAAACTTAGTCATAGTGACTTTATTGCCTTCCTTGCGGTGAAATGATAAAAAAATGACTTCCATCAGGTAGCTAATATTTTCTTTTGTTTGCCCAGTAGGACTAAATCTGATATATTATGCCCAGTTGTTACTTTCTGTGTCGAAATATTCAATAGGATCTTTACTTGCTCCATCCGTTTCTTCTCTATGATAACAGTAAAAGCAACAACAACAACAATAATAATAAAAAAAAATATTATTATTATTATCATTTTCATTATTATATCTTCCAGATATTGAATTCTGATTTGGAAGTGGCGCCATAAGAAAAAAAAATGAGGGGGCTCTCCTCCCGGATTGTTCCGAAGGGATCGGAAGAGGAGGAGGAGAATTGGGTCTTTTCCCGTCGGTGTAGATGCTGCGGTTTTAGTATCTGTTCCATGACGGAGGCCTTCTCTCTTCCCTTGCGTTCTCTCCATTGTTGCGTGACATATGTTACGTAGCGGTGGTTTGGCCTGTTATGTCTAGCTTCGACAAACTCAGACCAGCTAAAACCAGTGGCTCGAGTGGAAACACTCGGGTCTCCACGTTAAAAAAACAACCTTGTGTCACAACCAGGCTCAGTGGGGGTGGGTCGCGGGTATCAAGGTAAATCTCGTAACCATTAGAAAAAAATATACCTACTAAGAAAAGCAAGGGTACACTGAAAAGTATTGGTTACAGCGGGTTGATGTAAAAAATCAACTGAGCGTCTTATTTTCTTTTAAGTCACGAGGACAACCAAAATCATACTTTACGACCACATCACCATAAAAAACCGGTTCCATTACGATCAATGAATTTAAACAACGTCGAACTTGGTCAGTACCAAGATGGGTGAAGAAAGAAAGAAAGAAAGAAAGAAAGAAAGAAAGAAAGAAAGAAAGAAAGAAAAAGAAAGAAAAAAATCCAGAAAGTAAAGAAAAAGGAAGAAAAAACAAATCAAGAAAAGAAGAAAAATGAATGAAAGAAAGAAAAACAAATCAAGAAAGGAAAGAAAAAGAAAAAACAAACAAATCAAGAAAGGAAAGAAAATGAAAGAAAGAAAGAAAAAAGAAAGAAAGAAAGCGGTAAAAGAATTGAAAGAAAAAATAATTTTAAATGGGCATGCAAAAGAAAGAAACAAAGTTATGAGAAAGGAAGCTATAACATTTTTTAAAAAATAATTTAAAAAACAAACAAACAAGTAAGCAAAAAACGATTTAAAAATAGCCCGTGATAATAAAAATGGCAAGAAAGAAAACAAAGGAAGAAACAAAAAGAAACAAAATATAATTTAAAATAGGTACATTAAAGAAAGAGAAAAAGAAAGGAAATAGATTAAAAGGAACGCAATAAAAATTCAAATATAAATAATTAAAAAAAAATCTAATAAACAAACAATGGTAAAAAATAATTTGGCGGGATGATAATAAAAAAATGACCAAAAAAAACCAAGAAAGGAACAAAAATCAACCTTTTAATTTAATACAGTTCACGTCATTAATTAAGTGGGTTCTTTGGAATCGAAGAGGAAAGGAGCTTAAAAAGTGAAGATATATAATAAAGGGACAATTTGGAATGTTTTGGGGGAACGAGAATATGGCACTAATTTTTGTCTTTCTTTCCCAGCTCTTTTATTTCGACTATTTTTTTTTTTGTTTATTTACTTTTTTTTTGTTTGTTTATTTACTTTGTTTTTTTTTGTTGTTATTGTTGTTTTTGTAGATGAAATGATCAAAAATCCGCTTACAATGATGACATTTACGAAGGATGCTCAGAATATTGGTGTCACGAAAAGAAAGAAAATAAAATGCATGAAGACAATGTCACCGTAATAGCAAAAGAATGAACCTTTCAGCATATGGTTTTAAACTTAAAAAAATCAAAATTAGAGGAGAGAGTTACATAGAATGTGTACTGAATATCCACTCATAAAAGATATTTCTACATATGTTAAAATCGACATTGAGAAAAGCAACCATGTATATTTAATAAGTAATAATTCATCTGAATTAATAAAAAAATGGCAAAGAAAAATGAAACTGAGATTAATGTTAGTGTCAAAGTTTCTTACAATTAAATCAGATTTTATTATTTTAATGTGCAAAGTACTTTAAATTCGGTAGATTTCTAACACACACACCATAATATCTCTTTATATGTGTACATACACTCTATCTAAACACGCTACTGAGCATTCTTCCTTCACAAGCCACTACAAATTTGAAACACACACACACACACACACACACATATATATATATATATATATATATATATATATATATATATATATATATATATATATAAACACTAACATCCCATTTTAACAGAGATATTTACCAAAATTACACAAAAAATATCTTGCAGTAGTAAAGAGTAAATTTATTCAATAAAATCGCCATGGGTTTCAATCCCGGCCGGTAGACGACTTCACAATCTCCTGCATCTTTTCTGAACGGTCTCCTCAATTAAGCTGGTGAATGTTGCTATACTCATTGATTTCAGTTATCTTTCGTGTTACAAGGAGTTTCGTTGGTCTTTCGTTCAACTGCGCGCTGCACATAATAATCAAAAGGGAAATATTGAGTTTAAGTTAGGTGTAAGGGCTTATGTGGTTGCAGAAATTGTCTGAGCCATGACTGTGTCCTACTGATTGTGTAACATGGTGCAAAGTCCTGTTACAAGACATGTGGTCTTCCAGCAGCCATCCTCTTGACCCAATGGCAACACTGCCTTCTATATCAATAGGTCTCCCTGTTGGATATGAGGCCCTCACCAGTTAATTCGGGAGTTTTTTTTTCTTCTTATCAGTAGGATCAGAGTAAGTTTTCCGAGCTGCCGTACCTTTCTAATCATCATTAGACTCCGTGTTGAGTTTGAGACACTGTAGGAAGATGAATGAAGGCATAAAGTGCCATCACTAGTGATCACTCCAAAAACCTTCGTAATCACCAGTAGACTCATACAGATCTTTCCGTATGCTCTGCAGTGTACTCGGATTGACACCCAAATACTGAAATGTTCGTATTGGAGCTTCCAGAGCGAATGCCAATCAGTATATCATGCCATTTCCAAATTTCTGACAGAGGTCCTCTTTTTCTTACAGATGGTGCCTGACTGACCCTACAATAGTGTGCAGTTAAAAACAAAAAAACAAAAAAAGAAACAACGCACATGGGCAAAATTAAAAATATAAATTGGCAAAATTTACCCATCGTATATATATATATATATATATATATATATATATATATATATATATATATATATATATATATGTATAAAAGGAGAGAGAGACAAAGAATGAAAGAAAGACATACAGACATAGAAATACAAAGAAACACATTTAGTATAGATACATGAAACAACACTGAATGTCACTGAATATAAAAGTGAACATTCAAGTCAACACTTAGAGGTCTAAGTATTGACTTCTATGTTCACTTTTATATTTACACACGCTCTATCTCAGATATTCAGCAATTTATCCCATAAATATAGCACATCTTAAGACTATATTTCTTCATTTATATATATATATATATATATATATATATATATATATAGAGAGAGAGAGAGAGAGAGAAAGATTCTGTCATCAACGATATTTTCCAAAAGCACCTTTAGAATATGAAAATCTTGAATAGCAAACCATCCGTATCCGCTCAAATGTGTTTCCCCTGTTTAGAAAATACATTTTATTTTCCCATATCTTCTCTTTCTTTTTAAGATCAAAATTATTGTATTTTTTTAAAATTATAATTCAAGCCAACGTTTTATTTAAACGCCATTATTTTAGTAAACACCGCAATTTCATTGGATGATACTGGGCATTGAACTTAATGCATTCTATACAATTCTTTAAGCAGAACTTTATCGATATGAAAATTATAATTTCAGATAATTCTTCAATTGATGTTTTTCGGACATATGTTTCAATCGATAATATTCTTGTTGACTCTTGTCGGGGGTGTTTGCTGCTTTGCAGGTTTTCACATACCTTTGTCAAAGTTATAGTTTGGGGACAATCACGAAGGTGCCAATGTTTATGCTTAAATGTTAAGGCTTTCGAATATCTAGTGACACAGAATACGAAACACCTGACGCCTGACAATTGATTGTTTTTTCTTAACAGGATAGTTTGAAGCAGATAATTGCCATATGTAATGGTATTAGAAATCTGTCTACATTCTTACTAATTTCTTAAAAAATATTTCAACAATGTGACACCGAACACAAATGAAATAGCAATGTCCTCATAAAATTAAACAAAATATTCAGAAACCAGTACATGACGTTTTTTTACGGCTTATCAACCCTTATTTAAAACCATTTTTATATTGATTTACTGATACAAGTTCTACTAACTACCCCATAGCTGGAAGAGGAGAGGATATGAATTCACACTGTTCCCAAGGATATTTGTGTCTAAGCGAATATAAGGAATACAACTGGAATTGGAACTCGGCTCTGTAATCTCCAATTCCGTTATCCAAGAACATCCAAGCTTACAGCACCTGGTATTCCTAACCGTTCCCCCATCTTGGTACAGACCTGACACGACGTTGCTTAACTTCAGTGATCTTACGAGAACTGGTGCTTTAAATTGTTGTGGATTCCGGGATGAAATCCGGTACCAATAAATAACAAACGCCAAGAATGAATTTAGGAAAATAATGTATTAACGTAATAATACAAACTGGTAATGCAGGTTAGTAGTTCCAGGAATACGGGTTAGTAGCAAAATATATATACAGTCTTTGGTATTGAAGTATCGCTGTATGACTTCTTACTGGGTCTACGTGCTCGCTCACTGTGACTCGTACAACGCTGTTACCTCACCCTCACTCTTCCGGTTACCTACAACCTTTTACTCTGTCACTCTGGACTCGACTCGACTCTTCGGCCTTGCTCGCTATTTATCAACCCACCCACAAGGATTGAATATGGCACGAGGCCGGTTTAGTGTGGGTATCCCCGAGCCCGTAGGCTCGGCCAAAATATTGCCTTTTAGAACAGCATTGACGGATTCAGGCCCTGTCTACCTCCCCCGAACGAAACCTTTGCCCTTCGGCAAAGCTTCGTCCGGGTTCCTCTCTGCTAATGCAGAGAGTTTGACAGTCGTCGCTTACAGTCAAAGACTGTATCACGACAGCTTAACTCGGAGGTCTTGCTCTCCCGGGTCTTCACGTAGCCGTAGTATATGTATATGCTGGATGAGTCTATTTGTGTAAAAAAGGGAGAACCCCTCAACATAATGTGATGAGGTCGTCAGCTAAGTTTCGTTAAAAACAAAGAAAAATGTTGTACTGCTATGCATTATGAGTCGTCCTATACGACAGTGAATGCTGTGCAGTTTCCTCTCAGATGAAAAGGAGGCTTGAGGCCAGAGAGATGAGGTTCTACAGAAAGATGCTAAGAATATAACGAACGGAACATATAAGCAACGAAAAAGTTTTAAGGAGAATAGAACTAAAAGAATATGGAAGTGTAAGTTGATATTTTTGAAACATTAACGTCAGAAAATTCTCTTTTTTTTTCTTTTCATTTTTTTTATCCACCATCCAATCGACTCGGTTCTGCTTGCTTTAAAATTCAACATTCGTATTCTTTCTTTCTTTTTATGGGTCATGTCCTTTCAGGACGTAGGCTATTATGGCTCTCCCCCTCCCTCTCTCCCTTGCAACTCTCAACAAGTTCCCTCCCCCAGACCACGTTCTGTCATCCACTTGCTTATGTCCGCCAGGTACGTCACGCGTTGTTTTCACTTGTCTCTCTTTCCCTCTATTCGACCTGTGAGTATCAGATTCTCCAGGACTTCCTTCCTCAATATGTGTACCAGAAACTTCAGCTGCCTCTTCCTTGTGTTAATATAAGCCACCTTCTTATTTGGCAACCTCTCTAAGATCTCATCCTTACTCACACGCTCGGTCCATGTTTTTTTTTTTTACCTGGGATCGATCATGATTGTTTTGGGCTTATAGGAAAGACGCAACTATATCAACCACAAGGCAAAAGCCATTAGATTATTCTCCACCTTAAAAAAATACAATAGTCACTATGTAAAAACAGAAGCGAATTTACTTTTAGCTTCATTCAATTAACTTGTTTCCTCTCAGTCATGGCTTCTATTCTTCAGATTTTTGTCACTTTTCTATCATTTTCCATTTTCCAGAACGTCGCCCGACGTCGGTCCCTTTTTCCTTCCAATAATCCTAATGAACTTCCAAGGAAAATTCAACCAGCTGTTCATTCCAGAAAGAGAGAAACAGAGAGACCCAAAGGTAGACGACGCGAGGGCTAGAGAGAGAGAGAGAGAGGGAGAATCTAACGGGAAGAGGAAAAAATAGCGCTCGTCTTGACAGTTGGTCTTGCGCGTGTCTTGTCATATCTCGGAGAAAAGGTGGACAGGAATGATGGTAGGTAGTAAGGAAGAGCAAAAGGGAGAGCAAAGGGAAGAGCAAAAGGAAGTGGCTCGGCTGTCAGCGTAGGAGCAAAAGCAGATTGAGAATAGGAGCAGGGCCTCGTTTAAGGGCCTATGACACTTGAGTGCCTGCAAGAACGGATTGTTGCCTTAATGTGCTTGAAGACAAGTTTTACAAACGAAAAGCGCAGATAGCAATGGTGAAGTTGATGATGATGCAATGGAAGTGGCGAATGAGAAGATATTTCTGCTTGATAAACACAGTGACATGAAGGTATGAACGCTTTGTTTCACTTAGTTTTCCTTCCATTTTGATTTCTTCTCTCTCTCTCTTTCAAAGTCTCTCTCTCTCTCTTTCTCTCTCTATCAAGCTTTCTTTCTCTTTCTACTCTTCGCAATCTGTCCATTTTATCTGACTTTTCTCGCCAATTTTGCCTATTTTCTGTTTCTTCTCCCGCAATCATTTTTATTCGGCGTTATGTACTTTTTCTTTCTTTTTTTTTCCTTCTTTCTTTCTTCTTTCTTTCTTCCCTTATTTTCTTTCTTTATTTCCTTAACCCTTTCCTTTCTTTCATTATTTTAAAATTTTTCTCGCTTTGTTTCATTCTTTTTCATCTTCCCCTCTTTCTTTCTTCTTTTTCTTTCTTTCTTCCTTGTCTTTCAATATTTTTCCTTCTATCTTTATTTTTCTTTTCACCCTTTCTTTCTTTTTTCTTTCTTTCTTTCGTCTTCGTGTTAACTCTTTCTTTCTTTCGTTTCATTATTTCTTTTCCCTTTTTTATTTTCCTTTCTTCTTTCTTCCTTTTCTGTCTATCTTTCTTGCTTCCCTTTTCTTTCTTTCTTTCTTTCTTTCTTTCTTTCTACTCGCAATTACATTCTTTCATGATTCTAATTCTTTCTTTTAAACTTTTCCACTCCCTAAATTTAACTGACGTCTTTCTCTCTCAATTATTTACCATCTTTCCTTTAATTCTTCAATTGCATCCTTTTTTTCGAACAATATCTGCCTTCCGCCCACTCTCTTTTTACTTTAATACTTTTACTTGACACCTAGTCTCTCTTTTTTTCTCTCTCTTCAATCTTTTCTTCTTTCTCTTCCTTTCTCTTTCTTTCTCTCCCTCTCTCTTTCTTTCTCTCCTTCTCTTTCATTCTTCCGCTCTTTTTTCTCACATTTAACACATCTGATTTTTATTTTTATTGCTCAGAAATATTTTTTTCTTTTTTTATATTTTTAGTTATTTCTGTTTTTGTTCAGAAAACTTTTTTGAGACCGAGGTATAATGTGTTGCAGCAATAATTTTAAGTGGGCAGGTTTTGTAACCTAGGAAAAGTTACTGAATAGAATAATCACATGAAGATAATTAACGATAACACATAGGACAAGAACAACACATATATGATTCGCCAGCGGCGCGTAGAAGTAGTAGTCAACGGTTAGAAGTGAGTCAAGGGAATTGCAGAATGAATCTCCAACTGCAGAATATCTAGCAACCGTTCCACGCAGTCAGATGTGGCACAAGGCCGAATTTAATGTGGGGTATCCGAGCCTGTAGCCTCGGCTAAAAATTCTCCGTAGACCCCGTATAAAACGGGTTCGGGTAGCTGTTTCCCGAGACAAGATTCTGCCATTCGACATAGCCTGTCTAGGGATTCTCTCTGCCTCTCGGCAGAGGGAATTGACCAGTACAGCCGGAAACGAATCTCCAACTGCAGACCAACATACAGTATTTACTACTGTATTTATGTGAATGGGAATATACCCATTATCATAAGGTATTTTTATCTTGTGTTGAATATGAACATTTATATCTTTGGCTATTAATGAGGTTTGAGCAATTACAATTGAGACCGCCGAGAAGTACACAACTATTTCAACTACCAGACATATTTTGCTCATAAAATCGTATTTCTCCCTCTTATCCTCTCTCTCTCTCTCTCTCTCTCTCTCTATCTCTCTATCTATCTATCTATCTATCTATCTATCTATCCTCCCTTGTTCTTCACTGATAACCTCTTTATTTTTCTCTTTGTCATTCTATATATATCCCTCTCTAAAACATAAGATATCATGTTTTTTGCTTTTATTTACTTATTTGTTGCCAAGTGCATCTTTCCTTTCTTCCAGTCTCTTTTGCTGCCGCTCTTTTCTTTATTTCTGATTAGTATAAACAAAGAACTGTACTAAATAACAGAAACCACATTACTTGAGGACTACGAACAACAGCAACAACTAAAATGAAACACAAAGAGAAAGTAAAATATTCCACACCACTTCAAATAAAATTTAGAAATGGAAAGCCCCGTCAATACTGGAAAAAAAAAAGACAATAAAAATTTAGTCACTTAGGTGCCATCTTCCGGTACATGACTGACCAGGCAGATTTCTTCCTCTGGTAGACCAGTCGCCATCCAAAGCTATAAGAAACTGGTCTGTGCATAGCTGGGTGGAGAAGAAGAGGATTCATAGCTTTCCCAAGGGTATTAGTACGTAAGAGAATGCCTCCTTCTGGTTGGAAATACAGTGCTGTTTGATAAAAGTGACTCATCTATTTTTTTTTTTTTTTTTTTTTTTTTTACTAAATGTTCTCTTTCCGATGAAACGAAAGTTGAGCTAAATTCAAATGATAAGCGATCTAAAATCCGAAGAAGAAGCTTTGAAAGCTCTTTTGAATTTAGCAGTAAGTACTGTCAGAATCCGTTCAGTATAATGTTCTGGGGATGGTTTTCTTTTCATGGAACTGGTTTCTTAAAACCTATTGAAAAAACCCTCAGGAAACGAGCAGTACAAGAGAATTTTAGAGTCTTGACTGCTCCCTTTTGCTGAAAGGGTGCAAATCGACCCCACCAAGCTCATTTTTATGCAGGATAATGGAACAAAATCAAAATTGATGAAGGAATACTTTGATGAGAAGCAGGTGAGTGTTATGACATGGCCGCCTCAATCTCCTGACCTTAACCCCAGAGAAAACTTATGTAGCATTATAAAGTACAGGCTCTCGAGAAAGCAGTTGAGCAACAAAGAGGATTTGATTGTGAATTTCATATCCAAATGGAATTCAATGCTTGGAGATGAGATTTGCCAGAACCTAATCAAGTGCCAAAAAGTGTTAAAAAGGTTATTCAAAATAAAGGATGACACATAGATTATTAAATATTTCGAGCTACATTACCTATTATAAATAAATTATACCTCTATTATTGTTTATTTAAAGCTATTCAGTTATGTTTCTATTGATTACCAGTTGCAGGAAAAAAGTCAGTCATTTTTTGCACAGATTTTTTCCCTAAATCTCATATTCAAAATTATAATTATCAATAGGATATCTTAGGGTTAGTAAACTTTTTTACTAGGTGGTCAGTATATTAGCAAGATTAAAAATTAGTTTGACCCCAAAAACAATAGGCGAAAAAATTTTTAATTAAAAAAAAATCAGGTGAGTCACTTATCGAACAGCACTTGTTGCTATTTTCTTTAAAACTTTGTCGTTGATTAAATCTATTCGACTGGAAATCGAACTCGTCTCTCCTATTTCTTCTCTCCGAACCGATATCCATTACGTCATCGTGCCTCAGTTACGGGTCTTAATAAACCTTTTATTCCTAACAAATGTGTTTTAAGAGACAAAATTTACAAATTTCATACCAAAACAGTACTGGTTGTATGGTCAATAAATGCAAAAGTTTTCCTTATGAGAAAACGGCTAATATTATCCTTAACCTTAACTTTCATATTTATTTTTGTTTAGGTGAAGCATTTCCATCAAATATTCTTAGTTTTGCGTTAGTATTATTTTCGTCTTAATTTTATTTATTATATGAAGCACTACCAACCATTGTCATTAATTTTAAACTAGTACTCGTATATTTTTGTACTGGACGAAGTATTCCGTTTAATCACCGGATTTATTATATAAAATCAAACTAAAAGAACTAGCAGATCTATAAGGATTTATTATTAGTGGAGATGATCTTAAAACTACGGATCACATTGTGTTGATGGCAGGCTCAGAAAAGAAAATTAAATGACTGTTAGACAATACAGAAAAAAAAAGACAGAATGCGTGGTAGTCAGCAAAAGAGACAGCCCAATGTGTGAGCTACGTAATGGGGACGTCAATTTCAAGCAGTTATTGAAATTTAACTATCTGGTTAGTGTAGTAACAGACAACGGAAAATTTAACACAGGCGTCCGGAGGCGCATGAGTGTAATACATATAGGTATTTCAGAATTTAAAGAATGTATCAAGACATAGTAAAATAGTTACATGGTAAAGATATTGGAGTAGTCTTTAACCGTCACGAGGAACAGAAAAGCCAACGGGCAAATAGAGACAGAGTTCGGTGTATACATGAAAATAAATAGAAGACTAGGGCAAAAATCTATTACATCATCAGTTTTTTTCGATTTTTTTTTTTTTATTAAACCTCAATAGTGAAACGACCCTAAGATAACTACAAAACCTAGTAGAATTTATTATCTGTTGATATAATCTTAACAATATAAGGTACTCGGATAACACTACTAATGGCCATTAATGGTCACGGTCGATTTTCGTTTCATTCTGTGGACATAAAATTTATATGAAAAAATTTTACTTGATTTCGGGAGTTTCGATGCTGCAGAGTCTAAATCTAAAAAGTTCTCCAGGTGAGAATTGCGCATTTTTTTATAAATTGCATTTTAAATTGAATATTTTATCGGTAAATCTGAGCATAAAAATCAAGTAAGGGAGGTAATAATTGAGTAAATATGACGTTTCTTAGCCTAGTAGTTATCTCCCTTAAATTCAAAAATTTTAAAATACGGCGAAAATGAATTCCCCGATTTTTTTCTAATAAATAAATATACAGCATATACAACTATATTTTTCTATTTTTTCTGTCACAAAATCGTCTCTTTTGTCAATATATTTAACTTTGAATAGAGGTATGTGTATGTGTGTGCTTGTCTCTGCGCGCTTCTCTGCGTGTATGCGTGTTTTTTACTGTACTTTTTTTATTCTTACATTAACTAGTTTAAGCATAATTAATAATTTTTTTTTTGAATAAACTCTAATGGCCACGAGTTTTGCATTTGTTTTAAAATAATTCTATGTAGAAATAAATGACATTTAAAATTTCCTTAGCAATAATCTTACAATAATCTGCTATTTTTTTACATCTACAATATTTTTACAGCATTTTTTATGATTTAAATAAAGATTGTCAATGCTGGTGTGTTACAGGTTGGAAAAATTTGAGAAACGCAGCATTACAGAAATGAATTTAATATTCACTGACACTGCACCATCAACCAGTAATGAAGAGCTTGAATCCAGTCAGAAAAGGTTGAAGAGCAGTAGTAATTTTAGTCAATACACTTTTGGTAAAGATGATCAAACTACTCGCTGTTCCTTTGTTTTCCCAGTCAAATGCATATTTTGCAAAAGACAAAGATAAAAGAAACAAAATTGACGGAAGACGCACCAGGGAACCCTTGCAACAATGTGAACTCATTGTAAATGAAATTTTATTTGCTGCAAAGCTGAAACATGATGAAGATCTTCTTTGTCAGTTACAGGATAAAGATCATGTAGCTGCAGAGTTAAAATATCATCATACTTGGAAAATTAATTATACTAATTTCTTGAGATACAAAAAAAAGGATCAGTAGACATGAACAATGAAACAAAACACTGTGCTGCATATATTTTCAAGAAAGATATTATAATGAAAAAAATCATTAAAGGAAATCAGGTCTTACGAATGTCCAAACTGTCTGAACTGTACAGAAACATCCTTAAATCAGTAGAAGGGACATCTATGGCGGCTAAAACTCAACATCTGAAGCAGCAGATTTTCCATGATTTTCCACGGCTCACTTTCTTAAAACCAAGGCAGAGGAATCAGAGTGAGGCGGTGTGAAAAAATAGTCCCTGACTTAATAGGGAACAAGTGAGACTGATGATTCAGCAGACGACTCAGGTGGTGATGATGATAATGATGATGATGATGAAGGAAGCCATGATGATAATGATGATGAAGGAACCCAAGAACATGAAGCAACAGTTAAATATAATAAGACCTAAAATAATAATGTAAACTCTTTAACATTAGTTTTACTTCTAATCATTGATTAATTTATACCTAATATTAAATGATCTAATTGTGTGATGTTATCTGAACAGACTTTACTACCAAATGTTACCAGTGGAAAATATTTATATCACACTCATATATAAATTTTAGAACACAAAAATATTTAATAGTAATGAAGTATTTTTATTTCTGAATATTTGAAAAAGTTATTTAGTGATTTCTTTTACATTTTGTTTCAGATGGCGATGAAAACAATAGGTACAATTTCTATCATGCTAGCATGTATTTAAGAAATCAGTTTATTTCTGTGGAATCACCAACATCTTGGCCTCCTAAGAGCAATAGCGTAACTACAGAATGTGCTATGAAGATAATTCCTGTAGAACTTTTTAATGCATTGGCATTGATGATGTGTGGTCTTTCCGATGAAGTTGAAATGAAGAATAGATTTATTACTGTGTCTGAGAAAGATAAGAGAAAGCTACTTGCCATAGCACAAGATATTCTGAACATTTCTCACAGAGGAAATTTGTTTTTACCAAAGCATTATGCACTGGGAATGGCTGTTCGACACAGGACTGGTCAGTCAAAACTTATAGGCATTTTAAATGGGTTTGGGCACTCTATAAGCCACAGCACAACTCTAGAACTGGATACGGCTTTGGATGAACAACAACTATCATAAAGTAACATTCCAGAGGGTTTTAAAAAGAAAACTTTTACACATTTAGCCTGGGATAATAATGACTTTGGAGAAGAAACTCTGAATGGTAAGGGAACAACCCATAATACAAATGGGATCATAGTGCAGCAGCTAACTTCTGATCACTTATCACATATTGATGATGTCGCAATAGAAAAAGACCAGCCCCAAATGATCAGGAGTAAGAAGCGCAGTGTGATGCTAAATGAAGCGCCCATACCAGAATATTATGTGGCAAAAAGAGTAGGCCCTTTCCTACCTTCAGTTTCAATTGACAGCATTCAAAATGCTTTATTTAAATCATGTTGTGAGACCAAAACAAGCATTACTGATTTGGCTATGACCATGATCAATATGCACTGTGAAAGTGACAACCAAAACA